GGGGGGGGGGGGGGAGTGCAACGCGACGTCACGTCAGTTTTACACCGGACCTCATCACTCATACGGCATGCCGCCCCGTCATGAAACCTCGTCACACATTTGCGCGGCGAACGCGGGCGGGTCGTTCTAGCGCCCGCTCCTATTTTTAGCTCAAAAAATGTGGTAGCCCGGCACCTTTGCTGCGTTTTCAAAATAGTTACCGCCTACCTCCCGTAGTGTAGTTTTTTTTTTGTTAGCCGCCGCGGCCGGCGGACACCTACCTCTTCGAGTCTTTGATCTCTCGTGAATGTCGCGAAGTATCTGGCTGGCGTCGTCCAGGTGACCGGTGCTGGGCCAGTCACCGCTCTGCTCCCAGAAATCGTCCCCGGGCCCCAGACTGCTCCGGCGGTGGCGCACGGGCGTGAGGGAACGCGCCCGCTGCCGGAACTGGAGAAAACACGAAAGAGCGTTACTCTGGCTGAACAAGCGGGGAATAATTTGGCTCTCAGGCTAGTTATGTGTGTGCCCCCGTGTAGTCGTCGCTATCTGACGGACTCAGAGCGGGGGTGTACCTTGATGGCTTCCTCTTGCCGGCCGCTTTACTGGCTCCGGGCGAGCGATTGGGGAGCTTCAGGGGACTCAGCAATAGTAGCCCTCGAACATTAGCCGAGGGGGAACTTCAGCGGGGGTCTGAAGCTGTTGGGGGGACAAAAGGTATGAACAAGCCATTCGAAAGCAAAATAGGCAAACCTATATATTTCGTGCAACCTCTATGCAACTTGCAAAGCGGAAAAACAGAATGCTAAAGCAGCGGTGGGAGGGGTAACGTAGAGAAGCCATTGTGACCATAGGCAAGGCTTTCGTGAAAATTCCACCCAAATTAAGATCTAATCAGGCTGTTTTTTCTGTCAGCTGTCTGCCTCCCCTCTTTGCGGATTGAATCTAATTTGATAATTTCTGGAAGGTGCTGGTGCTAGGTGCCTTTAATTATTAGCTTTTCAAATTAACTGACAATTTCTTTGTCACTGGAATGTTTTTCTATAGCTTTACTGAGTTGAGGCGGAGGTCAACCGCGTACGTACTTGAACGGTGAAGAAGGCGCGGTCAGTGCCGAAGATGTTCTTGGCGACGATGAAGTAGGTGCCTCCATCAGATAGTATGGCCCGCTTGAGCGTAAGGCGCACGTAGTCGCCCACGTTCTCTCGCATGGCGCGACCGCTGTTGGTGATGTCGCGCGTTCCTTTCATCCATGTCACTGCAGCATAATTGTTATTGATTAGGGCAGGGCACTTTCGTTAGCCTTCTCAGCAAACGTACCCCACATCTAATTAACATCTCAATCGAGTGAAATCGAGGGGTACCTCACTTCGTCCAATCAGTGTACGGTCTAAAAACTAATCCTATTCCAATCACATACCAATCATTTTCCAATCACTCCAATCACTCCGATCATTTTCAAAATTCAATCAAAATTTTTTAAAAACAAAATGTTTATTGGCATTTTCACTGAAAAAAAGGACTAGTAACAGATACCAGACAAATCCTAGTTAAATGGATGCTAGTTATTACAACTAGGATAATACTAAGCTTTACGAGAAGTTTAGTATCGTATACTAACACAGGTATAGTTACAGGTACCAGCCGTCTAGTAACTGAGT